AGTTCTGCCTATTCATGAACAGGGTATATTTTTCCATCTTCTAAGATCTTCTTCTATTTCTCTCTTTAGGGTTCTGTAGTTTTCATTGTATAAGTCTTTCACCTCTTTTGTTAGGTTGATTCCCAAGTATTTTATTTTTTTTGAAGATATTGTGAATGGAGTGGTTGTCGTCATTTCCATTTCAGAGGATTTGTCGCTGATATACAGGAATGCCTTTGATTTATGCGTGTTGATTTTATATCCTGCCACTTTGCTGAATTCATTTATTAGCTCTAATAGTTTCTTTGTAGACCCTTTTGGGTCTGCTAGGTATAGAATCATGTCATCTGCAAATAGTGATAATTTAAGTTCTTCTTTTCCTATTTTGATGCCTTTAATTTCTTTCGTCTGTCTAATTGCTCTGGCCAGTGTTTCGAGAACTATGTTGAACAGAAGTGGTGAGAGAGGGCATCCCTGTCTTGTTCTAGATTTTAGAGGGAATGCCTTCAATTTTTCTCCATTCAGAATGATGCTAGCCTGAGGCTTAGCATAGATTGCTTTTACAATATTGAGGTATGTTCCTGTTATCCCTAGTTTTTCTAGAGTTTTGAACATAAAGGGATGCTGTACTTTGTCGAATGCTTTTTCCGCATCTATCGAGATGATCATATGGTTCTTATTTTTAAGTCTATTGATGTGGTGAATAACATTTATTGATTTCCGTATATTGAACCAGCCTTGCATCCCAGGGATGAATCCTACTTGATCATGGTGCACAATTTTTTTGATATGTTTTTGTATCCGAGTGGCCAGAATTTTATTGAGGATTTTTGCATCTAGGTTCATTAGAGATATTGGTCTGTAGTTTTCTTTCTTTGAAGTGTCTTTGTCTGGTTTAGGTATCAGGGTGATGTTGGCCTCGTAGAATGAATTTGGAAGTTCTCCCTCTTTTTCTATTTCCCGAAGTAGCTTGAAAAGTATTGGTATTAGTTGCTCTTTAAAGGTTTTGTAAAACTCTGCTGTATACCCATCCGGTCCTGGGCTTTTCTTAGTTGGTAGTCTTTTGATGGTTTCTTCTATTTCCTCAATTGATATTGGTCTGTTTAGGTTGTCTATATCCTCCTGACTCAATCTGGGCAGATCATATGACTTAAGAAATTTATCTATGCCTTCACTATCTTCTAATTTATTGGAGTATAAGGATTCAAAATAATTTTTGATTATCTTCTGTATTTCTGAAGTGTCTGTTGTGATATTGCCTCTTTCATCCCGTATGTTAGTAATTTGAGTTCTCTCTCTTCTTCTCTTCGCTAGCATGGCTAAGGGTCTGTCGATTTTGTTTATTTTTTCAAAGAACCAACTTTTAGTTTTGTCAATTTTTTCAATTGTTTCTTTTGTTTCGATTTCATTAATTTCAGCTCTGATTTTAATTATTTCTTGCCTTCTACTTCTTTTGCTGTTGTTTTGCTCTTCTTTTTCAAGGATTTTGAGATGAAGTATGAGATCATTTATTTGTTGGTTTTTTCTTTTTTTAAGGAATGAACTCCAAGCAATGAATTTTCCTCTTAGAACTGCTTTCAATGTGTCCCATAGATTCCGATATGTTGTGTCTGTGTTTTCATTAATCTCTAAGAATTTTTTAATTTCTTCCTTGATGTCCTCTATAACCCATTGATCATTCAGTAACCTATTGTTCATTCTCCAAGTGATGTATTCTTTTTCCTTCCTTCTTTTATTGTTGATTTTCGGTTCCATTCCATTATGATCAGATAGGATGCATGGTATTATCTCTACTCCTTTATATTGTCTAAGAGTTTCCCTGTGACATAATATATGATCTATTTTTGAGAAGGATCCATGTGCTGCTGAGAAAAAAGTGTAACTGCTTGATGTTGGGTGGTATATTCTATATGTGTCAATTAAGTCTAGGTTATTAATTGTGTTATTGAGTTCTATAGTTTCCTTATTCAACTTTTGTTTGGAAGATCTGTCCAGTGGTGATAGAGGTGTGTTGAAGTCTCCCATGATTATTGTATGGTGGTCTATTAGACTCTTGAACTTGAGAAGAGTTTGTTTGATGAACATAGCTGCACCATTGTTTGGGGCATATATATTTATGATTGTTATGTCTTGTTGGTGTATGGTTCCCTTGAGCAGTATGTAGTGTCCCTCTTTATCCCTTTTGATTAACTTTGGCTTGAAATCTATTTTATTTGATATGAGTATGGATACTCCTGCTTGTTTCCGAAGTCCATATGAGTGATATGATTTTTCCCAACCTTTCACCTTCAGCCTATGTATGTCTTTTCCTATCAAATGCGTCTCCTGTAGGCAGCATATTGTTGGGTCTTGTTTTGTGATCCATTCTACTAGCCTGTGTCTCTTGATTGGTGAGTTTAAGCCATTAACATTTAGGGTTATTATTGAGATATGGGTTGTTCTTCCAGCCATATTTGTTTATTTATGTTACTAAACATGGTTTGTTTTCCTCTTTGATTATTTTCCCCCCTTTAGTGTCCTACCTCCCACTGTTGATTTTCATTGTTATTTTCCATTTCCTCTTCCTGTAATGTTTTGCCAAGGATGTTTTGAAGAGATGGTTTTCTAGCTGCAAATTCTTTTAACTTTTGTTTATCGTGGAAGGTTTTAATTTCATCTTCCATCCTGAAGCTTAATTTCGCTGGAAACACAATTCTTGGTTGGAACCCATTTTCTTTCAGTGTTTGAAATATGTTATTCCAGGATCTTCTAGCTTTCAGAGTCTGTGTTGAAAGAGCAGCTGTTATCCTGATTGGCTTACCCCTAAATGTGATCTGCTTCCTTTCTCTTGTAGCTTTTAAAATTCTCTCATTCTGTATGTTGGGCATCTTCATTATAATGTGTCTAGGTGTGGGTCTCTTATGATTTTGCACATTCGGCGTCCTGTAGGCTTCTAGGATTTGGGGTTCTGTCTCATTCTTCAAGTCTGGGAAGTTTTCTCGTATTATTTCATTGAATAGATTGCTCATTCCTTTGGTTTGAAACTCTGTCCCTTCCTGTATCCCAATGACTCTTAAATTTGGTCTCTTGATGTTGTCCCATATTTCTTGGATGTTCTGCTCATGGTTTCTTAACAGTCTTGCTGAGCTGTCTATGTTCTTTTCAAGTTGAAATACTTTATCTTCATTGTCTGATGTTCTGTCTTCTAAGTGTTCTACTCTGCTGGTAGTATTCTCAATTGAGTTTTTAAGTTGGCTTATTGCTTCCTGCATTTCTAGGATTTCTGTTTGTTTGTTTTTTATAACCTCTATTTCCCTGTATAGTTGATCTTTTGCTTCTTGGATTTGTTTATGTAATTCATTGTTGAAGTGATCTTTCATTGTCTGATTTTGCTGTCTGATGTCTTCCTTGAGACTCCAGATCATCTGAAGCATGTATATCCTGAATTCTTTATCTGACATTCCATCTTCTGCAGCTGTTACCTCTTCTAACGTTGAGTTGACCTGCAATGCTTGTGGTCCTTTCTTTCCTTGTCTCTTCATACTGTTTGCGTTCCTTTCTACTTGGTGAAACTGTTGTGCTATTGAATTTTCCCCCTATATATTTATATTGGTCTTGTATAGTTGCAAAGTCTCCCTCGCAGGCGCGGGCGGCGGCTCTGCCCCTCCTCCAATTGGGGCAATGTGCCTACCACGCCGGCAGGCCGCTGGGCCTGCTCTGCCGTTCGGTAGCAGGTCCGCCGACCTTGCAGGCGCGGGCGGCGGCTCTGTCCCTCTGCGGGCCGCTAGGCTTGTTCTGTCGGTGGTCACAGTTCTGTCTACTTTGCAGGCGCAGGCAGCGGCACTGCCCCTCTGCAGGCCTCTGGGGCTGTACTGCCAGTGGGTCGCAGGTCCGCCTACCTTGCAGGCGCGGGGAGGGGGGCGGCTCTACCCTTCCTCAGGCCACTGGGCCTGTTCTGTCTCTCGGTTGCAGGTCTGGCCTGCTCTGATGGTGGTCACAGTTCCGTCTACCTTGCAGGCGCGGGGGGGAGGGGGCGGCTGTGCCTCTCAGCAGGCCGCTGCTCCTCTTCTGCCGGTGGGTCGCAGGCCCGCCTACCTTGCAGGAGTGATTGGAAGCTCTGCCCCTCCGCGGGCCACTGGGCCTTTTCTGTCAGTGGTCACAGTTCCGCCTACCTGGCAGGCTCGGGGGGTGGGGGGCGGCTCTGCCCCTCAGCAGGCCGCTGGGCCTGTTCTGTGGGTGGTCACAGTTCCCTCTACCTTGCCGGCGCAGGGGGAGGGGGCGGCTCTGCCTCTCAGCAGGCCGCTGCTCCTCTTCTGCCGGTGGGTCGCAGGCCCGCCTACCTTGCAGGAGTGAGAAAATTGTTTTTAAAAATGGAACAATATTCTATGTTCTAATGGAGATATGTATATAATCAAAGTACTTGAAAGATTAAGCAACAGATTCAGAATGGTGCCTACTTTGAAGAAGGAAGGAAGAAAAAGAAGGGTACTCTATAGGTATATTCAGCTGTTTCTGTAATGTTTCATTTATCATTTTGAAAAGGCTAAATTAAATAAAGCAAATGATACTGTTTGGCAAGATGGGGGTAGGTATACGACATATTCCATTCTCTTTCTTTTTCTATATGCTTGAAATACTCCACTTAAAAAATGAGTTCCTTGGAGAGAATATGGAACTTTTTAAACAGTTATATGAGTTTCTCTCTAACTCATTTGTATTGAAAAATACTTTAGATTTGTTTAATTGTTGCAGTTTTTGGAACCTATTTCTTAAGACTGAGTACTAAATCCTGTGGTTTTATATTTAAGAAACAGTCTATCACTTCATGCCCATTAAATTATGTGTCCTTATTGCTTCAGTAAACTCATTATGCATGCAAAAATGCCTTTTTTCTTTCTTGCTTTAATTTGATTTCTTCAGCACAGCTGTGCTTTTTAAAGTATTCTTATTTCTGATCTTGGAATTTTGGGAAGCTCTTTGACATATATCTACTCTAACTAAATTTTTAAATCACTTACCTTTGCTGTTTTGTTTTTTTCCAGGAACGGGATAAATTCTACTTATCTCGTAGTGTTGTTCTAGAACTTCTACAGGCCCTGAAGCTCAAATCTCCTTTGCCAGATACAAACCTCCTTCTGCTTGTCCAGGTAAGCTTATGCTGTGTTTGTAAAATGCTTTATGGGGTCCATGCATACTTGGAAAGATTAAGAGATGAGGGGCAGATGCATAAGTGCCAGGTGCCTTTGTTCAGAGATGAGAAATAATATATTGTATATGAGCTGAAGTTCTAATAAATATGATGCACTCAGCACTTCCACTGGCTTAAAAAGAAAAAAAAAAAGAAGCATTAATTTTGACCCTAGTGAGGAACTGGTTCTGTGAGGGACAAAAAGAAGAATGAGGCAATAGTTTCTATCCTCAAGAAATTTGTAATCCAGTAGGTTGGAAGGCAGCTCCCTCACCAGAGCGGAGATAGGCCAAACGAAGCAAAACATGGGGCAGCAGGCTCCAGAGTGATCACAGAGTCCGCTCAGTGTGGCTGAGTCAGTGAATGTTCTGGAAAGTGAGGTGAGCCAGCCCAGACACTGTAAATAACAGGATGTGCTGGTCCAGTCAAGGTGTAGGTGGGTGTAAATCAGCTATTGAAAGATCACTGAGGCAGACTCTGGAGAATCAGCTGTCATCATGCTTTTGGGTGTTGCTTTGAGGACACCTGCATCCTCAGTGACCTTAACTCAGCATCTAAGGCAAGCAGACAGATTTTCATCACCTGAGACAGGCTGTGACGGGTGCCATAAGAGAGAGAGGTAAACAGTTTGTGGGGAATTTGAGAGCAGGAGTGATCCCACCTCATGTGGTATGAAATCAGGGAGGACTTCAGAAGAAGTGGCATTTGAGTTGGGTCACAAAGGATTAGTGGGTGCAGATAATTTTTTTTGGGGGGGGGGCCTGGAGTTGGGGTTTGGCCCAGACCTACACTGGCTTAAAACAATAGGGGAGGCAGAGGCAGGAAGTTAGAGTAAATTTAGGGACAGTGACATGAGGATGGAACTGAGCACAAGCAGGCCGGTAGCGTTAGAGGAGTCCACAGGCATCCAGTAAACTGAGCCCCTGCCTCCACTCCAGGAGCTGAGGCTGGACTTAAAGCCATGAGCTACAGTGGATCAGGGTATCATTCAGATGGCCATTGCACAAAGTGTCCACTAGCCAAAGCACAGCGGTTTCCATTCTCCCTGGATTAGCATTAAGGCCAGTTCCAGAGTCTGGGCCTGCCAGTTAGAGGTTAAATGCCTGAAGGAAATTGGGAGCTTCGCATCAAGGAAACTAGAAAGAGAGCTAAGATGTGGAGAGATAAAGGCAAAGAGAACATTTAATTGATTAATTGAACATCTATTTTATGTTAAGCCATTATGAATCTTGAAATATGCAGGTGCTATGCAGGATGATGGGGAAGAGACAGATGTGCCATATGAGGTCCTTTCCCTCCAGGAGTTTAGACTCTAGTAGGTGAAGTTAATATGTAAACAAAAAATTTAAACATAATGTATAGGTAGGTAAAAGAGACATGTGCTGAGTTAGAAATTGGTGTCAAAAAGGGACCATGTGACACAGAAATTCAAGTTTACCTGGTAGAGAAGAGGAGAACCACACTTGTCATTTACCATGGAATATCCTCTGCATGGTTCCCTGACTTTCCCACTATACACTAAACATTAGGACCAGAATTGAGTTTTTCTCATAAGCCTGAGATTTAGTAAAAAGTTGGTGTTCTTTCAATGTATACCACTTTCATTGTACAGCCCAGGAGGAAGACAGAAGCAAGGACACAATCAGAAAGTATCTGTGCTCCTAAGGAGAGACAGATGGATCTCTCTCAGCGGGTTGTTACCAGCAGCCACTCCTACTCACATAACCTCAGTAGCACTATCTTTGAGTACAAGTAAAGCTGACCTTAAGATGAACAGGCTCTCCCCTGGAGGAGGGGCAGGTGCACAGGCTTTAGTGAAATAGCCCAGGAGGGATTTAAGGGTAGCATTGGCAGTGTCTGCAAGTGCTGATGGCATTTCAGTGGTGGATGTGCACCCAAAACAAAACTAGGTTTCCGGGCCCTGAGAGTGCTTTCCTGTAGACCTCAGTCTTGAGCAAAGCAGTTCTGTGTGGCTGATCTCCTTGGGGTCTGGCATCCCACACGGTAACTGCTGGGGGCTGGATTTCTATGAAGTACATTAGTCAACCATAATAAGCACTTGTCACTAAACACCAAAAGAACACTGGCAGTTTAAATTACTTAATGCTTAAGGAAACTATGAAAACAGTGATTATTGCATCACAATTAGGTGAATAAATAACAAAAACAAATTAGCTTTAGGAAGAAAGAAGGCAAAAAGTAGACATTTCTAAGTGTATTTTATGAATTTCATCTTCTGTTTCAAATGTAACACTTTCATCTTAAATATGTATGTGGGCACACACACAGTCATTGATTTGTGAAATTTAAAAAGTCAAGTTGTAAAATTATTCAGATTGGAGAAGTGTTTTGAAGACATTTTAAGTTTCTGCCCATGATGTACAACTTTTTGAATAATGTTTCATCCTTTCCTGGCAAAAAAAAAAGTTAAATATCATACCATTTTGAAGTAACACATCCTTCTTTTACAACCTCTAAATCATTTCCATTATTAATGAGAGAATGAAAGGGAGGCATACCCTGAGAACAGAGTAGTTCCCTTTCCCACCCAGGGCTTCTGCCCAAATTATGGAGTCCTCCATCGGGTAAGGGAGGAGCACCTTTATCCCTCTTCATGACCAGAGCATCTTTCTGTGAGTTTCCTAGTTCCTTTTTTCTTGTCCTTGATTGCCTGGACCCTCATACTATTCTCAGGAGAATGACGGAGGTGGCAGCCTGCTCTCTCATAGCTCCTCTTAGGCTGGAGGCTCTAGGCTGGACTCAAGGGAAGCGTTCTCTTTACTGATGGGCACTGTCAGTTTCTGGCACCTGGACAACCAGGCTTATAGCACAGACAGAATGGTTCCAGAGAAGCCAGACTTTCTTCATGGATAATCAGTGGCCAGTCTGAAGGCAGTAGAGGCATGTCTGTTCAGCTGAAAATGCCCTTGGAAAACAGAAAAGAATAGAATAATTGGGAGGAAAACTACCCCAGTGAACCCCATGAACACTGGTTCCATCACTGAGAAGACTCAGTTGCCCCAGCCTTGGGCTCACCAGTGACTCTTTTACTCTGTGAGGAACCACTGTTTGTTTCATCTACTTCTTTAATTCGTACCTTAGTAGACGGGTACATTTACTGAGGTGGAACCTTACGATCTTCTCAGGCAGGCCATACCTTTGTTGTTTACCAGACACTCTAGCAGTACAAGAAACCCCTCAGAGGACACTGGAACTCTTGCCCAAGGAATGTGGGGTTATCCAAATCTAAACATTCCAAGGCAGTAACAGGTACCACCAGTCTGCTTTCTTTCTTTTTCTTTTCTTCTTTTTTTTTTTTTTTGTGTGTGTGTGTGGTGCTGGGGATTGAACCCAGGGCCTCGTGCACTCGAGGCAAGTACTCTACCAACTAAGCCAAGCTATATCCCAGCTCACCAGTCTGATTTTTGATTCCCACCAATTCTGCCTGGGCCTGACATCAGGGGAGATTGCCCAGCCTCTCCTTGTGGTTGTCTGTTATTATTTGTTTGCTGTTGCTGTTATATTTCTTTCAGTGAAGTCAGGTGATCTTAATTTCTCAAGTGGACTTTCCCCCCCCCAAAGATAAAGAGGCACCCAGACAGGAAGTAATTTGACAAATAGAAAAAAAAGTGACCCTTTTCAGAATCTAAAATTGTCAACCACTAAGCCACATTTCTCCATCTGTACTTGGGACAGATGGACTGTCATGTTATTTTTTAATTCTAATCTAGTAACATTTTTGCCTTTGCTTACAACATTTCTCTTCTGCTGGTTTGCTATAGATATTTGATGTGTGAGAGATTATTCTAATTGTTCTTGAGACGGATTAAAGGAAAGCATTCATAATAGAGCAATAATCCCCTGAAAATCATCATAAAAACTAAGTTCAAGTCAAAATGAATTTCCCCCAGCTCTTTTATGGTTCAAGAGTAGATATTCTGCTAATTTGCATGTACCACTCCCACTCTGTGGGATATACCTGCATATTCAAGTTATGAGAAGTCATGTTGGTAAAAGGTTTTCTTTTAAAAATAGATTGATTGTGGGCTGGATGACAAAGAAATGGCAGTAGCAAGGCTGTTGTCTCTAATTCACAGTCACTGCTGAGTGGAGTTGTTCATATCAGTTAGGTTCATCATAATCTAATCACTCTCTGGGATGAGAGGTGGAGATACTATTTTGGGTATCATTTTGATAATGAATTTAGTAATGACACATAATGGATATCATGTTTCTTTTGTGTTCTTTTGTACTCCTGGAGGAGTGCATATTTCAGTGTCATATTTCTCTCTATGAAAGTATGGAATTCTTCTTTCTACAGCAATTATCATTCCCCACTCTGATTTTATTTAGTCATATCTTTATACTTGGAGCAGGTCTGTGCAGATCTGGTGGAGTTCTTTACAGTTGTGGTTGGCAGCCATAATGAAGTAAAGACTTTCATATGCTGGGCTTTTGAGGCACCTCCATTACTTTAGGGTAATTTTTGATTGATTTGGACTTGCACAAGTCATCACAGATCTGACAGGTGGTGACTGCTTACATGCTGTTGAGGAGCTCACACTGTCCTCAGTCTGGTTTACTGAGAGTGGCAGGTGGCGAAGGTGCCTGCTGAAGGCACACAATGGTGCTTGAATGTTTTACTTCTTTGCAGATCCTGTCTTGCCATCAAGGGCCACCAGGCATGCAAGCACCCATTGGGGGGCCCAGACTTTGAACCATACATAAAAGAACAACTCTAAGCACCCCATACCTCATGCATTAGGTGAACTCTGTCTTCCCTGTAGCCTCTCTTAGCTGTGCAGTTGCATTTCTGTTGTAAATAAATTAGTTAAAACGAATGCTGGTGTCCTGACTAAGATTTTGGACTTAGGTATAAGTCATTTGCTTCCAATTGCAGACTCAGAGAGCTTTGGAAAATACTGTCTCTGTGAAAACATGCAGTATCTGTCAGGAGGTCAAGTTAGGGTGCTCCTGCTGCTTTTCACTTGTCCTTCTATCAAGTGTTATTGTTTTATTTTTTCACTTACAGGTTTTGGCCAAAGTTAAAAGCTTCACAGTTTTTAAACCTGATTTAGTCACTTTTCCTTATACAGCATTAGAATAAATCTAAGTTAGGTGAAAAGACATAAGCATACCTGAATAAGATAATAGAAATTTTTAGGCATTCCCAGGATAATCCCAGCTGCTACTTTCTTTTCCAGATTCAGAGTAGCTGGCCTAAAACATTCCTCACATTCAGTAATAGCATTTGAGACAAATGGAAATGACAAAATGTTAATAAGGAGATCTGGTATCCACTTCTGTCATGCAACTCCCAGGACAGCTCTGCCTGCTATCCTCTGCCCCAAGCCTGATTACCTGTACCTAAATACCTTTCATGAAAAAACACATATCCCAAAATTGAAGACCAGTTCTTAGTCATTATGCAAGAATTCTCAGGGCTCCTGGCCTCAGAAGGCTTTTGCCTTGTTAGCCCAAACCTGCTGCCCAAGAACAGTGCTTAGACTTGGGCCCCTACTTAGCCAAACAATATACTAGTTTCTGTTCCCTTGTTCTAGAGCTCCTCAGCAGGCCTCCCTGAGATTTTCTGTGTGACCCAAGTCTGTGTTACTCCTCCCAGTTTGACAGGGAAGAAGCCTACCTGGCTGCACTTATGGTCTTGACCCATCCAGCTTCCCTGTGCCTTCTGCATAGATGAGAAGGAAGAGCTCTTGGTGTCAAAACTTCTTCAGAGCTTCTGGACTCTGCATAGCAGCTTCAGATCTCAAAGGGTCACTGGCCAAAGGCCAAGGAAGAAAAATTAAACAGGAGTAAATGACTCATAGCCAACTTTTCAGACCTTCTTTAACTTCTTTCCAAAAACTATAAGTAAATAGTTGGATGTTACATTAAGTAGGAAACACCTGCCAAAATCTGTAAGGAAGCAAATTAAATTGTAATCTGCTACATCTATCTTCAGTATGATCTCAAGTCAGAATTGATTAATTGGCTTCTTTCTTAAACTCTTGTTGAGCCCCTCTGGGATGCCAGGCACTAGCTAGTGCTGAGGAGAGGTACTTGAAGGCTGGGTTCTTGAGAAGCTTGTGGCCAGCTGAGAAATAGACTGTTAGGTCGCCACCGTCTAATGTGATGGCTCTTGCAGTGGACATGTAAAAAGTCATGTGAGTATGTGGAGCACGACTGGTGTTATTCTCAGCCCAGAGAAGACATGTGAATGAAGTGGGGGGAGGAAGACAAGACACCAAGGATCCTTGGAGGGGATGAAATAGGCAGAGCACTTGCTCTGAAGCTGACTTTCTATTTTCATTCTGAATACATACTGTAATGACAGACGTCATGAAAATCTATGAAACCTTGCTAATAGTAACTGCCAAAAAGTGCTACAGAATAAATAGAATGCGTGACTTGTGGGGGGAGCTGAGGCAGGAGGATTGCAAGTTTGAGGCTTACCTGGGCAACTTAGTGATACCCTGTCTTAAAATAAAAAAGGCGGGAATGTAGCTTAGTGATAGAGCACCCCTGAATTCAAGTGCCTCTCGGGGTCGGGGGATAATAAATAGTTTGACTCCAGAGTAACTCTGACAATGTTGACATCTTTTATTTTTTCCACAATTGAACGCACCATTTCAATACCACCTGGTTTTTCTGGGCAAAGTAAAATCTGCACGCTCATGCCATTTCTATGCTGATAGGAATGAACTGTCATGATTAACATGATTAACTGAGGTATCCAGGGCAGACTGTCAAGAAAGTAAACACTAATGAGTTTAAGCCATTTTAATAAAATTACAAATTACTTATTACTGTCCAAATACTCTTAAAAATAATTATCCTTTCTTTTTTATTAGTTTATTTGTGCAGATGCTGGAACCAAACTAGCTGAATCAACAATCCTGAGCAAGCAGATGATAGCCTCTGTCCCTGGAGTAAGTCCTGACCAAATTAATTGTCTGCATTTTTGTATTTCATAAAATAGTGGTTATGAATGTAGGCTTTAGAGTCACACCAGGGTTTGAGGCCTGCTTTTACTAGCTGTGTGATTTTGTGAAATTATTTAACCTATGATTCTTTGATTTGCATCATCTGTAGAATAAGCTATAACTGGGCCTAAGGTACAGACTGAGGGTGACTGAGATGATTCGTGTAAAGCATATTCAGACGGTGCCAGCCATGTAGTTAGTAATGAGTAGATTTTGTTGCCTATAATACCTATTAAAAATGATATTAACAAACATTGCCTATTGTTGGATACTTTTAATTATTTTCTGCAATTGTAATTAATATGCAATGAACACCTTTGTGCATAAATTTTTGTACTTTGGATTACTTCTTACAGATTTCTAGAGTAGAATTATTATACTTTTAATAATATAAGTTTTTTTAAGTATTCTTTGTAGTAATTAGGGTAATGAAAGATGATAAAATCCCAATTCCCAGCAATTTAACACCAAAGAAACTTATTGTTCCTGTGAAGTTTAAGTGAGCAGGCTGATGTCAAGGGAAAGGAACTACCACACGTAGGCTCAGGGCTCAGGTTTCTTCCTTCATCTGCAGTCCTCTGCCATTCACTGGTGGTTGGGGAAAGAGAAGAGAATGAGGTACATGGGAGATTTTCATGGGTCAGGTCTAGAAGTGCATGTTTCTTCTACTCACATTTTGTTGGTTGGAGCCCAGTCACATGAGCACACACATCTAACAGCCAGAGAGGATGGGGAATGTGATCTACCTGTGTGCTAGGGAAGAAGAAAAGTGGCTCTGGGAAGTGGCCAGTCCCTCTGAGGCACCCTCAGTGTTCCTGATTGATTAACCTTAGAACTCAATATTTGCTACCTATGATAGTTTGAAAAAAAAAAAAAAAGCCCTAATATGTAAAAGGTTTAATGAAATCAGTAAGTAGAAGGCAAATGTTCAGTAACAACAACAAAGCAGCAGTTGTAGGATTCACATATAGAACCTTTCCAAGGACCAGTTAATAAGCCATTTTAAAGAAACCTTTTACCCTTACATGTAATCAATGAATTATAAATTAATAAAATAAAAGTAAAGCAAAATAAAAGAATATTTGAAAATATAAAAATTAAAATTGGCTAGTAAATCAGTTGATTTATTTTTCTTTTTTAAAAATAGTTGCTTTAAGGGAAGGGAAAAATCCCTCTATTAGCGTCTAGTTGACCTTAATTGGCTGGGCAGGGGGGAGGACAGATATAAAAAGCACTGCGTCCTTAATGTATGCCGCTTGATGATTGGAGATGGAATATGCCTGTGGAACTGTCACAGCACAATCTCTGCTTATCTGCCATCTCCCCATTTGCTTATTTATTATTATGATAAGAACACTTAATATAAGATCAACCCTTGTGACAAATTTTACATTCATGGTAGCATTGCTAACTGCAGGCACTGTGCTGCCCAGTAGAGTTCCAGGGCTTATTTATCTTGCATAACTGAAGTTTTGTACCTTGTGGCCGGTACCCCCATCCCAGTGTTTTCTTGATGATTAAACTTATTTATGGTGAAGGGAAACAAGCATTTTAGCTGTTGGTGGTAGTGAAAGCAACTTTACTAGAGTACAGTTTAACAAACTACTTCTAGGAATATGTTTGAGAAAATAAATATGCATCAAAAGATTTATAAGCAGGTATATGTTGTAAAGCATCCCTTAAAATAGCAAAAATATGGAAACAAAAATAAGTGTCCAATATTAGAGTTTTGTTTAATAAAGTAAGGTACATCTTGACTATTACAATGTGGCTACTAAATCAATGTTTCAAAGAATATTTAAGTAATTGGAAAATGCTTGTGATGGATTTAATTAAAAAGCAAATTAGCAAAAGGTTATTTCAATCTTATAAATATTGTGCATATGTGTGCCTTTTTATATGCATTCAAAAAACTTGAAAGGAAATTTTAACGGTTAGTTTTCAAAGAGGTGGAGAACAAGTATTAGGATTACAGTGATTTTAATTGTTCTTTTTAGTAACTTGTATTTTCCAAATTTTCTGCAATGAGCATACATTCTTCTATAATTAGGAAATGTAACTTAAACCTCAAATATGTTTTAAAGAAGAATTGTGTGTGCTCTGCTTCAATTCCTGTGTCTGAGGTTAGAGTACATTTTTCCACTCCTTTTTCATCATTTTCCTATTGAAATGAATATGGGCCTCTGAAACAAATGGAGCTTGACTCCTTATGTTCTGTTTTGTTTTTAAAAATAACACATCTAAGTTGTACTTCTGCTTTACAAAGTAGAAAAAGAGGGATTGTAAATTACCTATTTTGTTTTGTGTATGTAGCTGGCTCCCTATATCCTGAATAAAAAGTGGATTTTAAGGCTTTTACTGGGCATAATTGCTGTCTCTAGAACAAAATACCTATGTAATAGTAAAGTCTTTGCTCTCATTTCTTGAGATTCAGACTTAAAAGGTGAATATTGAATAATGCTCCTGGTAATGACTTTCTGTGACATTTGCCTAGTTGAACTGGTATAAAATACTGCTTATGAAAGAAACAAATCCCTTTCAAGAAATTCAAGAACAGTCTATGCTCCTATTTGCATGATGTGTGAAAGGTCAAAGAAAATGGAATAAACCAGGGGGAAATCCTCCTTGCACAGAAGGATTCATATTGCAAAAGCAGGAACACAATAACCTTTTACAATTCCTTCACTTGATTCAAATTAAAAGAAGAAAACCTTAGAACATATGAAATGCTTGGAAAACACTCTGACAGACTGCCACTAGCCTTATTTTACTGTTTGTTATCCTGTCAGAAGAACTGACAAGCGTAACATTCTAGAAGAGAGAGGAGGTGATAGAGTTCAGTGCTATGCAGATTTACATGAATATGGGAAAATGAGAGCCACTGGGTGAGCTAGTTAAGTCTATAATGTTCCAGATTTTCCTAAAGAAAGCCAAGAGAAGCCTTTAGCATGGTATTCATACCGCTTCAAAGACTGCCTGCTTTTGATCCACATTATACGCGGCGTGATGTGTGGGTTCTCTCATACGGCTTTGATGTAGCAGCCTGTCTGTTCATTTTCCTTTGCTTTGCTTATAATCCTACATTTGCTGCATTTCCCCGAGAAGGCAGGTCTCTGCCGCTTAATAACCTCAAACACAAACATGCTTTATTTTCCTTTAAAAGTTCCCTAACATACTTTAGGTATGTACAGAAGGTGACCATTTTTATTTCTTTCTCCTATCTATCTCTAGCAAGAACTTGACATGGATACCTGTGTCTATTTAGTAGTGCCCCGACTATCTACATGAAGTTAAGTTGTAAGCGTCTTGACTTGAACATAAGAATTTTTGAGTCAGCAAAACAATGTTTATATATATTTAGTTAGTAATATATATGTGCACACATTTAAAGAGATAAGATTCTGGTGGTGAAATTTGGTAACACATTTTACTTACATTTTAGATTTCCCCAGAGTGATAGTGTTAACAGTAGTTTTGAGGTGATAATGGCATTATGTATGATTCATGTGTACAGACCAGCTTAAAAATAAGCAAAAATCAGTCTCATTACCCAGGGAAAACAGCATTTAACTCTGCCCCTGGAAGGTGCCCCTGTGTCTTTACTCTGCTACAAACCTTTACTTTGCCACAAACCATGGGCAGACAGTCACAGACTAAGCTGGGTGGTAGAGTGAGTCAGAAATCCAGAAAATGCAACAAGTCCTTAGCAAAGAGGGTACAGCTAGAGTGGGTTGGACAGAAATGCCGCTGTGGCCAGTCATGTGCTTGTGTTTCAGTGTGGGACTGCAGCCATGGAGTGCGTGCGGCAGTCCATTGGTGAAGTGCTGGACTTCATGGCGGACATGCACACGCTGACCAGACTGAAGGTAGGACCCCATCTGCTCATATCTTAGATTCACTAAATGCAAGATGTTTTTAAAGGATTAAACAGACCATGTGGGGAATTTATTGGTATCTGGGGAGGCAGCTGGAACATTGTTAAATGAGCCCATATCTTGGGGTCTGAAGAACTGGAGTCCAGTTCTGCAAAAAAAGAAAAGAAGAAAGGATGGTCATATGACATGAGCTTTGTACACACCTTTATTTTTGCCATTTATTCAGTTTCACAATATCCCTATTATAATATTATCCCCATTTTACAAATGCAGGAACTGAGGCTTGGTCTGATGTAGCATTTTGGTCAAGGTGACACTACTAATAAGTAGTTGAACCTAAGGCTGTTGTGACTCCCAATCCATCTCCTTTTACTGTGCCACATGGAGTCATTTAACTCCCTGGAGCTTCAGTTTCCTCATTTGCAAAGTGAGTCTATGACACCTCCCCTGCCTGATTGTTATAGGGTTTATATAAAATAATGTATGCAAAGAGAATTTCTTACACAGTAGCACGTTATGCAGACATAGCCATTTATTATTTTTATCTGCAATTTAAGTTATCTTCTTCACGAAAATAATTAAAGAGGGGCTGGGGTTGTGGCTGAGTCTGAGTGGTAGAGCACTTGCCTAGCATGTGTGAGGTACTGGGTTCGATTCTCAGCACGATGTATAAACAAATAAATAAATAAAGGTCCATCAATAACTAATAAAAGTTTTTAAAAAGAAAATAATTAAAGAAGGAGAGAGAACAAAATTGAATTTGCATTTGGACAAAATCTCAGTGAAGTTGTTGAGTTTATTGATTGTTTTACAAGGTGGAATGAATAACTGATATGGGTCCACTTCTCTTCCATGATTCAACCAGGGAGCCAAAAGATTAATAATCTGAAAGTCTTGAGGAAGGCCCTGGATGGAGGGCAGATGAGAATCCAAACATGATCCAAAGAGCAGCCAAATTGCAATTTAGCACTGAATGATTTCTTTTTGATAAACAAGAACTTAGTGATCCAAGAAGTTCAACAGCTAAAAATGTGGTTCCTTTTTCACTGAGCTTAGTTTTTAGACGCTGCTTAGATGATCTTGGTACAGTGATAAATTTGCAAATTTTAGGTGCAAAGGAGAATCAAAATTAAGCTCATTATGTGTAATCTAGAGAAGAAAAATAAAGAATGACATGAAAGTAGGAGGGGGATTATAAGAGAGGTGAGAGGGGACACGGGGGAGGTGGGAGGAGAGGAAAGATAGGGAAGCAGGGAAGGTAGATATGATCAGAGTATGTTATATGCATGTGTGAAATTACCACAGTGAAAGCCACTATTTTGTACAATTAACACATTAATAATTATAATTTAAAAAATAAGCTGAAAATTTCTCATCATGTGTAAACCCTGTCATTTTTTTTTTTTTTTTTTTTTTTGGTGAGGGGATGGGCGGGTACCAGGGATTGAATTTGGGCACTTGATCACTGAGCCACATCCTTAGCCCTGTTTTGCATTTTATTTAGCGACAGGGTCTTGCTGAATTGCTTAGCACCTTGCTTTTTCTGAGGCTGGCTTTAATTTGTGGTCCTCTTGTCTCAGCCTCTGGAGCTGCTGTGATTACAGGTGCCCAGCTTAACCCCAGTCATTTTTTTTAAAGCAAGAATATGCATTTTATATCTTTATCTTATTTATTTATTTGTATGTGGTGCTGAGGATCGAACCCAGGGCCTTGCACTTGCTAGGCAAGTGCTCTACCACTGAGCCACAATCCCAGCCCCAACCCCAGTCATTTTTAAGAAAACTCCCCTACCACTTGGTCACATGCTGGTTACTAATTACTGAATATAGGTGCCCACACTTAAATGACATTGATGCATAAAGAAGAGGAAATGATTATTACTCAAGCATTTTGAGATTGTTTTGCAGACATTTTCAAAAAATATTAAGAAAGAAACATAGGCTGGGGATATAGCTCAGCTGGTAGAGTGCTTGCCTTGCATGCACTAGGCCCTGGGTTCAATCCCCAGTACCACACAGACACACACACACCCCAAAAAAAAAAGATCCATGATGTTTAAAAGGTTGGAAACTGTAGACATAATCCAACCATCTGACCTTGCATATTAGGAAACAGATCAGAAAGGTCAAGTGGCAAGAGGTTTCTCTCAGGCCGTGTAGCTAGTTAAGACAGGAGTGGGTCTCAAGTCCCAATTCACTGTATTTTCCCATTAAGCCACACTAAGCATAAAGCTTTCAAAATTAATTAAGAAATATGTATTGAGCACCTATAATGTGTCTAGCTCTGTTCTAGCTTTGGGGCTGCAGTAGTGAGCCAAAGCAGACATATTGCTGCCCCCACTTAACTTATAGTCTACTAGAAAGCTGAATTTAATGAACATTTCACAAAAAAACAAAGTGAAATTATGACTCACAATTGGTATAAAGAAGGAATAGACAGTGGCATGGACCAGCCAAGGAACTCAGGGAAGGCTTCCTAGGGGAAGTAACTCTTGAGCTAAAATCTGAACAAATGGGTGAAAAGGGCAGGGACAGTATTTCAGGCAGAGGAACAGCAGAGCCAGTGCAGCTAGAGCTGGGATGGATGGAGGCGAGATGTGGAGGCTGCAGGAATCAGACATTCTGGCTGTACGGATCCTGCTGAGGAATGATTCCCTACTTGGTCCTAAAAACGATGTGAAACCACTCTAGTTTAATCAGGTTGTGGGCTTGAGGTGGTGATGGGAGGGGAAGGGACTACCTGATGTTTGAAGAGTGCCTGGCATGTCTCCACTGTCTGCCAAAGTCACAAAATATCATTTGGTTTTGCAGAGCCACATGAAGACGTGCTCCCAGCCTCTGCATGAAGATACATTTGGCGGACACCTCAAAGTGGGTCTGGCTCAGATTGCTGCTATGGAAATCTCCCGGGGCAACCACAGAGATAACAAAGCCGTGATCCGCTATCTGCCTTGGCTCTACCACCCTCCTTCTGCCATGCAGCAAGGGTGAGACCCTTGTTATTCTAGGGATGAGGGAAGACAAGACCAGAGATGCCCCTGAGGCTCCTGGGACTCATCCAGAGCTTGCCATGCACTGAAGAGTCATGAGAGTCAAGTACGATTGGTTAGGAAGATGGAAATCAGGGTTCCACCCCATACCTACTTGCTGACCTTGGGCACCTTGTGGGATGCTGCCAGTAAAAGAAACTTGCCCTTGTACATATGAAAACCTCCATCATCCTCATGGAGGATGAAAACTTAAAACAGAGCTGTCACTTTAGCTCAGTTTCAACTAGTGAAATAATTCCATAGGTACATTTCCAGCACTCGCATGGCCTGTGCTCTTGAGTAGCTTAGTTTATAGCTGGAACCAAATGTCAGCAGGGATGAAATAGTGCAAGGAGGTGCAAGCCCCTGCTCCTGCCTAGGGGGGCTGGAGGAGAGGCAGGTTTCCCTGGGAACTCAGAGCAGACTTGAGCCTGCTGTTTTGCATGGTCCGCCTTCCTGTGGAGGAAAGGATGGGGGTAGTGAAGAGAGCAGGAGGAGAAAATTGTGTGCAGAAAACTGTGCAGCCAGGTATATGTCTGCTCCTCTGTTCCCTCTCTCTAGTGAGAATGTCAGAGAAGAACTTTCTGATGAGAAGAAAGGAAAGGGTTCAAAAGAAGCGGGTCAGAGGCAGTCAGGCCACAGAGGAATGATACTTAATCCTCTGCCACCAGTGGCCGTTCTTTGCTCAAGAAGCTAAGCTGCAGGATTAGAGTGAAAAACAAGAAAACAAATGCATCATTTGATTGATACTCTAGCGCCTTGGTGTCATATTTTATGTAATTGCTGGCAAGACCTCATTTTTAATCTCTTCCTTCAATAAACATTCATGTGCATCCAACAAAACAGAAAACATAAACTCATCTTTAACACATCCTTCTTCTCTAACAGACCTAAAGAATTCATTGAGTGTGTCTCCCACATCCGTCTGCTGTCGTGGCTGCTTCTGGGTTCCCTCACTCATAATGCAGTGTGTCCGAACGCCTCCTCTCCCTGCCTTCCCATACCTCTGGATGCAGGTTCCCATATTGCAGACCATCTTATTGTTATCCTGATTGGATTTCCAGAGCAATCAAAGGTAAGTGATTTCTGCAAGATTAGGACCATGTGCATCGAAATTGCTAATGGAAACCCTTATCAGCCAATTATGTTTCTTCTCAGAAGTAAACGCATCTTGTCACTTGCCCTCCTGTGGATATTAGAAAAGCAACTTTGTGCTAATGCCTTATTTAAAGTTGTTTAAATTCCCAGACTGTCTTTTTCCCCCTAAATTGTTTTCTGGCTTACTTTTATGAAGATAAATTATGGAGGCAGGCAAGAGTTGGCTTCCCAGGCTAGAAATATAATAAAAATTCTGTGATCAGTTTTCCAAACAAGACTGAGGAGGAGAAAAACTTATACTCTAATTCTTCATGCACTCTTTCCAATTAAAATCTCTAGGGGTCCATGAAAATGCAACATGAAAATAAGAAGGCTAGTGGAAGCTCCCTAAAGCACACCCTGGAATCACCTGCACAGAGAAACTTTGTAAATCATAGAGACAGGTGATGTACTTAAGGGGATAAAGTAAGCTACTGATCCTGACTCTGCTGGTGCAAACCAGACACTCCTAACAAGCTACAATGGCAAAGTCCTTTTCCAGAGCTCAGATGAGTCCAGGGAGGTCCCAGTGGGTTTGGGGCAGTTGGGCTTTGGGCCAGGACAAGCTGATAAAATGGAGCACCCACCCATCTATGGTTGCCAAAAGAAATCAAGCAGTCAATCAGTTTCTTCTATTTCAATCCAAATCTGTGTTTGATTCCTAACCAAGGTACTTATAATTTTGTGAGCTTGAGTATGTTACTTAACCTTTCTGAGCTCCTGTGTTCCAGCTGTAAAGTAGATTGAGGGGATAATTTGAGAGCGATAGAAGTGATCTTTGGAAAGTCTTTTGTACTGTCCCTGGTATGCTGTAGGTACTTACTCAATGAAAACCCTTACTGCTGCTGCTGCTGCTACAAGTGTAATTATTAAGAGCTGGGAAGTGTGTTCTGTATCACCTTGTTTGCTCCTAACTCCACTTCTTGGAACAGGCTACAGTTATTCCCACTTTACAGATGAGGAAACATCCTAAAACAGTAGAATGATTATTCTTCCTGATATGGTTTATGGATAGGAATGTCAGTTTCATTAAAGAGCAAGGGGGGTGAGTAGATTTGTTCTGCTAATGACGATGCCCTCTCTTGGAAAAGAGGCTTTGTTCTCTGAGCACACTCGCACCTACAAGGAAGAGCAGACTGTTCTAAGGTGATGAGTCACGAGTTTGTAACTGAGATAACTCCTGTGTGCATGGGCTGTGCTCCCTGGCAAGGCCGCTAGGGGCCCGCAGCAGCTCCCTGTCTTCTCCTCTCCAGACCTCCGTGCTCCACATGTGCTCCCTCTTCCACGCATTCATCTTTGCTCAGCTCTGGACGGTATACTGCGAACAAAGTGCCGTAGCTACGAACGTGCAAAATCAGAACGAATTCAGCTTCACGGCAATACTGACAGCACTGGAGTTTTGGAGTAGGGTGACACCCAGCATCCTCCAGCTAATGGCCCATAACAAAGTGGTGAGTTCTCAGAGAAGACTCCCCTCTGGGGTACAGTCTCATAATGTCTAGACCACACTCAGTCCCTTCTGACACCTGTTCTTTTACAGATCTCAGTGGTCAGATTGTGTAAATACATCAGGGATTTATTTTGTTATAAGATGGACATTCTACTTGCATAAGAATTTGGTTGAAAACAACACAAATGGTAGTCAAGAGATCTGTTGTACTTCATGGTGACACTTGAAAATTGCTAAGAGGTATATTTTAAGTGTTCTCATCCAAAAATAAGCATACAAGTAATGCATATGTTAAATATCTTCACTTAGTCATTCTACATTATATATATGTATCAAAATATCATATTATAGACTGTAAGTATTTAGAAACCCAAAGCAAGTAAAAAGCAAACAATTTTTATTTTTCCTGCCTAATGCCAAATAAACTTTATATGAAATTTCGACCTTTAAGGTTTTATTGTTCTATGAAGTCAGACGGTTAGAAGGGAGATTCAAATAATTTTTGGATTCCAAAGCAATTTGGGAAAATGTGAGCCAGTTAGGTCATCTTTTTAAGAGTGAACTGACCCCAGGAGTTCATTCTAGTCAGCCCAAAAGAGCCTTACCTTTTTGGGTTGCCTTAGAAGTGATTTTTAAACTGTTCCCCAGATTTCAAATCCATTTTACTGTTTATGGCTCACCTTAGAAAGGGGCTGCTCCAGACTGCATGGGAAATATCTGGAGGATTCTTAGCCTAAGCACACGTCATTGATAAGGCTGGTCCTCACTGAGTCAGTTGGAGGGCATGGGAGGAATTTACAAGGAGTCTTTGGGTTCCAGTTGCTATGCCAGAGGAGGGTGCTCAGTCAGGAGGACGGCAGCCAGTGTCTTGCTTACAGGGGCACCACCAGTGGACAAGGAGTGGGGGACCCGGAGCAACCATCTGATGATTCCAGTGTGCACGAAACCTTACTGCCCTGTGCACCAAAGGCATTTGGGACATGATGTTTTAGTTGATTGAATATTAATCCAGAAAATATTTTCTTTTAGCTCTAGTTAGAAAGGGAATTAAACATTTTCTTCAGTTAAGCCCTTTCTTTGTTTTGGAGAAGCACATGTTGCAATTTTATAGAGGGAGAGGTTTTAGTTGAATGTAAAGAACATTATTTGAAAATTTTAGGGTTTATAAACAGTTCTAACAGCTCCAATTCATTGGATCACAGATTCTAGGATTAGAAGAGAAACTGGACATTAAGCATTCTACTATGTTATTTTAAATAAAACACTGAAATTAGAGGCTGAGGCAGGAGTATGGCGAGTTCAAAGCCAGCCTCAGCAAAAGCGAGGCACTGAGCAACTCAGTGAGACCCTGTCTCTAAATAAAATACAAAATAGAGCTGGGGTGGTGGCTCATGGTCGAGCACCCCTGAGTACAATCCCTGGTACCTGCCCCCCAGACCCCCCCCCCAGGAAAACAGTGAAATTGGAATCTTACACTTTAATCTAGATATTAAAACTCTCCTTCTGCTGTCATTACTTTTTTGATACCAAATGTTATGTGTTGCCAGTGAATTTTTTACAAATGATGTTTCAAATGAATTTAAATTAATTTTATTCTGAAAATCTTGTCGGACAATATAAGCCTATCTGGTAAAATCCTTCAGGAGTATTAAAAATCCAGCTTCAGGCATTTCCGATGAGGGATCTCATCTCCATTGTACTTTGGAACTGTCCTATTTCATGGCTCCCTTGTTCAGTAGAGAACAAAGCCTCAGAGGCATATCTGCAGTAAGTTAAGCAGCCATTCCCTGTGGGAAACAAGGAAGACAGGATCAAGATGGAGGAAATGACCCAATCTTTGTCCTCTGGTGTGAGTCCTAGGCTGTGCAGATTAGTGAGGTCAATGCCTGAGTGCCCTCCGCAACCTTCAGTTAGGTGATAAAGGAACGACAATTCCAGGACCTCTGGAGGGTTTTTAAATTCCATTTCCTGTTTGAGTTTTAGAGGTGAATGAACACCACTCTCTGTGGTTCCCTGTGGCCATTATGCAGAAAGCCTTCCTGGGCACAGGGGCATTAGGCGCCTGTGACTGTAGACTAGTTCATTATATTAAGTCGGTATATCACTGGGAGTGGAATTGACTTTCATGTTTGTTGTTTCAGATGGTAGAAATGGTGTGTCTCCATGTGATTAGTTTAATGGAGGCATTGCAAGAATGCAATTCAACCATTTTTGTCAAGGTAGGACAATCTTACAATTTTCTTATACACCATTTTATATCGCCAAAAACCAATGTGGATTTATTTCAAATGTATGTTCCAAAGGAGAAAATAAAGTGGATTTAGTTTTAACATTTAGAGTTGGGAGTGGAGGATTTAGGCTTCTTCAACAACCTTTTACCAGATGGTTCTTGTTATTTTTGCTTTTGTTCTACCACTGTGACCAACTCTTCCGTGTCAGACCATGACTGCATGTGGCACAGGAATGAAAATATTACTGCGGAACACTGATCTGAAAATGACCCTATTGTAGTATAAATCAGTTGGTGGTACTTCATTTTGTGACAGATATCTGGAAAATCAAGGAAAATAGTCTGTAATTGTTGATCTGCTATCTGGTGCTTTTTTCTAAGATAAATGAATTTTTATTTTAAATATTATATTAAGTCAGTATACAGCATGTAATAATTCAAGCATATGTCTTCTTCCCAGGGACATTAGGAACAGACTAGTGTGGTGCACAATTAAAAAGTAAAGTAGAACTTGGTTTTCACTCCCTTTGTCTTGCTAGCTCCCCCTTTATCTTGTCCTTTCCATCATTCTGCCTCTTTGTTTTACCGGTCATTCTTCTTTCCTCCTCTCTTACCTTTTCCACTTGCCGGAGTGTATCATTTTGGAACCTTAGGACTTGCTATTTCACTTCATGATTAATTTCATTCTTGGTTCAAGACACTTTTCATGTTAACTCACACTGTGATGAAGAAAAGCAGCCTTTTTTCAGGGAAAACTTAACTGTTACCAGAACTGTGCAAGGTCATTGGTTCAAATGGTATAGAGATATGTTTTATCTAGCTCAATATAGCACAAGTCAATACTGTGACAGAAATGATGTGACTGACAATTGGATGCTTCTACCTGGTATTATTTTTTACTGAAGTGTAATAATTTATATATGGCAAATTGCATGTATTTAAATGGTGCATTTTGTTAAGTCTTGACATATGTTACTCTCATGAACCCATCACTACAATCAAGATTTTTTTTACCCCCAACAAAGTTTTCTTTTACTAATTTATAGTCCCTCTATTTACCACTTCCTGTCCCCAGGCAGCTACTATTCTGCTTTCTGTCACATAGGTTAGTTTTCTATAAATAGTTTCATTCTATACTTTCTGCTTTCTTTTTCTCATAATGATCACATTGCAATTAATCCATGTTTTTCCATGTATGAATAGGCCATTACTTTTTTAAAGAATTTTTTTATTTGTCCTTTTTCATTATACATGACAGTAGAATGTATTTTGAAATATCATATTACATGGAATATAATTTCCCATTCTTATGGTTGTAAATGATGTGGAGTTACACAGATCTTGTATTTATATATGAACATAGGAAAGTTATTCTGATTCATTGTATTATCTTTACCATTCCCATCCCCCATTCTTTCCCCTTTATTACCCCCCTACCCGTCCAATCTGGTGAACCTCTACTTCTCCCTCCTCCCTTTCCTGGTCTATTGTGAGTCAGCATCTGCATATCAGAGAGAATATTCGGCCTTTGGTTTTTAGGTATTGGCCTATTTCATTTACCATGATAGTCTCCAGTTCCATCCATTTACCAGCAAATGCCATAATTTTAATCTTCTTTATGGCTGAGTAATTTTCCATTGTGTACATGCACCACATTTTTCTTTATCCATTTATCTTTTGAAAGGCACCTAGGTTGGTTCCGTAGCTTAGCTATTGTGAATTTTATGACTGCTTTTTCTGTTTTTATGAATAACATCACTGGAACCTTAATAAGAATTGCATTAAAATTGTAATGCACTTTTGGTAGTATGGCCATTTTGATAATATTAATTCTGCCTATCCAAGAAAATGGTAGATCTTTCCATTTTCTATTTCTTTCTTTAGTGTTATGTGGTTTTCATTGTAGAGGTCTTTCATCTCTTTTGTTAGATTGATTCCCAAATATTTTATTTTTCCTTGAGGCTATTGTGAATGGGATATTTTTCCTAATTTCTCTTTCAATTGATTCATCACTAATATATAGGAATACAATTGATTTATTGGTGTTAATTTTATATCCTGCTACTTTGCTGAATTCATTTATGAGTTCTAGAAGTTTTCTGGTGGAGTTTTTGGGTTTTATAAATATAGAATCATGCATCAGCAAATAAGGATGGTTTTGAGTTCTTCTTTTCCTATTCATATCTCTTTAATTTCTTTCTTCTGTCTAATTGCTCTGGCTAGAGATTCCGTAACTGTTGACATCTGTGGGGAAAGAGGGCATCCCTGTTGTAATCCTGTTTTTAGGGGGAATGTTTTAAAATTTTCTCCATTTAGAATGATGTTGGCCTAGGGATTACCATAGATAGCTTTTACAATGTTGATGCATGTTCTTACTATCTCAAGTTTTTCCAGTGTTTTGAACATGAATAGATGCTGTATTTTGTCAAATGCTTTTTCTGCATCTATTGAGATAATCATGTGGTTTTTGTCTTTTAGTCTATTGATGTGATGAATTATGTTTATTGATTTCCATATGTTGAACCAACTTTCATCTCTGGGACGAACCCCACTTGATCATGGTACACTATCTTTTTAATATATTTTCCTATGCCATTTGCCAGAATTTTATTGAGAATTTTTGCATCTATGTTTGTCAGGGATATTGTTCTGAAATTTTCTTTCCTTGATATGTCTTTGTCCAGTTTTGGTGTCAGGGTAATACTAGCTTCATAGAATGAATTTGGAAGTGTTCCCTTCTTTTCTATTTCATTGAATAATGAAGTTGTTTTGTGGCCTATGATATGGTCTACTTTAGAGAAGGATCCATATGCTGCTGAGAAGAAAGTATATTCACTCTTTGAAGGTCTGGTAGAACTCATCTGAGAATCCATCTGGTCCTGGGCTTTCTTTCTTGGTGGCTTTTGATGGTATCTTCAGTTTCATTTCTTGAAATTCATCTGCTTAAATTTTCTATGTCCTTCTGATTCAATTTGTTTAGGTCATATGTCTCTAGAAATTTGCTGATGTCTTCAAGATTTTCTATTTTATTAGAGTATAAATTTTCAAAATAGGTTCTGATTATTGTCTGTATTTCAGTAGTGTCCATTGTGATATTTCCTTTTTCATTGCAAATTTTAGTAATTTGAGTTTTCTCTCTATTTTTCTTTGTTAGCTTGGCTAAGGGTTTATCAATTTTATTGATTATTTTTTCAACTTTTTCTTTTGTTGATTTTTTGATTGTTTCTTTTGTTTCAATTTAATTGATTTGAGCTTTGATTTTAGTTATTTTCTGTCTTTACTGCTTTGGGTATTGATTTGTTCTTCTTTCCCTAGTGTTTTGAAATGTAAAGTTAGGCTATTTATTTGCTGACTTTCTATTCTTGTAATGAATGAGTGCAATGCAATGAACTTTCCTCTTAGCACTGCCTTCATAGTGTCCCAGAGATTTTGATATGTTGTATTGCTATTCTCATTTACCTCTAAGTACTTTTTTTTATTTCATCCCTGATTTCTTCTGCTGTCTAGTCATCATTCAGTAGTGTATTATTTATTCTCCAGGTGTTAGAGTAGCTTTTATTTTTTATTCTATTGTTGATTTGTAATTTCATTCCATTATGATCTGATAGGATGCAAGGTATTATCTCTATTTTATTGTATTCTCCAAGAGTTGTTTTATGGCCTATGATATGGTCTACTTTAGAGAAGGATCCATATGCTGCTGAGAAGAAAGTATATTCACTCATTGATGGACGAAATATTCTATATATGTCTGTTAAGTCTAAATTATTATTGTATTTCTTAGTTCTATAGCTTCTTTATTTAGTTTTTGTCTGGAATATCTATCCAGTGATATTTAATTTGAATTAGTGGTGAGAGAGGTTGTTAATATCATCCAGTATTAGGGTGTTGTGGTCTGTTTACTTCTTGAAATTGAGAAGGGTTTGTCTGATGTACATAGATGCTCCATAAATACTTATGATTATTATGTCTTGTTGATGCATAATTCCCTTAAGCAGTGAATGATACGTTGTTTCCCATCCTTTTACCTTCAGTCTCTGCATGTCTTTGCCTGTGAAGTGAGCCTCTTGAAGAAAGGATACTGTTTGGTCTTGTTTTTAATCTAATCTGCCAGTCTATGTCTTTTGATTGATGAGTTTAGATCATTTATATTCAATGTTATTATTAATGAGATATGATTTTTATTCCCTGTCATTTTGACTTATTTCTGGTTTTTAATTTGAATTAGTTTCTCCATTGATTCGCTGTTCTTTTAGTGTAGTTTCTTCCTTTCCTGGTTTTCACTTTCATTTTTCATTTCTTCTTCATGTAATATCTTATTGGTTATATTTTTTGTAGTGCAGGCTAATTGTGAATTCTTTTAACTTTTGTTTAGCATGGAAAGATTTTATTTCATCATCAATTCTGAAGCTTAATTTTGCTGGGTAGAGTATTCTTGGCTAATTTCCATTTTCTTTCAGAGCTTGGTATATATTATTCCAAGACCTTCTAGCTTTGAGGGTGTGGGTTGAGAGATCAGCTAAGATCCAGATTGCTTTCCCTCTCAATGTTACTTGTCATTTTTCTCTGGCATCCTTTAAAATTCTATCCTTATTCTGTAAGGCATTTTTATTATAGTGTACCTTGGTGTGGGTCTGTTGTAATTTTGTATATTTGGCATCCTGTAAGCCTCCTGAATTTGATTTTCCATTCATTCTTTCTTTGGGGGGAGGGTACCAGGGATTGAACTCAAGGGCATTCAACCACTGACCAGCCCTATTTTGTGACAGGGTCTCACTGAGTTGCTTTGCACCTTGCCATTGCTGAGGCTGGCTTTGAACTTGAGATTATCCTGCCTCAGCCTCCCAAGCTGCTGGGATTACAGGCATGCAGCACCATGCCCCAGCTCCATTTTATTCTTTAGGATTGGGAATTTTTCTGATATTATTTCATTGAAAAGATTGCTCATTCCTTTCATTTGTATCTCTGAGCCTTCATCTATACCAGTAA